GACTTTCACATTAAAAAAAGGAATCAATTTCTAAAAACGCTGATCAATGAATTAGGCGTTTCACAAAGGTACGATGTATAATAAATAATCTATAAATAACATATATAATCGTTTGAGAAAAAAAAACACATCATTATATCACCACCAGTTTGAATGACTGATACAAAATAGGATCACTGGTACTTTCAAAATGATTGAACTAACTTCTAACGCTACCATCTGGATGTTGAAGCTAAAATTGAGACTCGCTAGATTAGGCAACAGTCTCTTACCCTCCAGTTTAGCTGATCTGTAGTAATAATTATAGTTTTATTGACAAACACTTTTATCATTCAATGTAACTTTACAAATTAAACTAAAACAAGTCCTCAACAATCACAGAAATAAAAATCATCATGTGGTTCTTTTCCCACCCTTGGCATACCACTATAAACTTCAGCAAGTTTCTCTTCACTACACCTGGATGTATGACCTCATTGAGCTGCTGCCATGTGATATGCCAATTGTAGGTATTACTAAACTGCAAAATTGTAAAACACCAATGGAAAAAGTGGATTTTATAGAGATTAAGTGCAGTTCTCACTTTATTTAGCTCTAAAAGGCAACTACACTTTGCCTTCAAACTCTGTATGTCATTATTATTAATAACAATAATCCGAGGAAGATTCTTATGATTGATTGATTGATTTATTGACTTTATTGATCTCACAGTGAAGAAATTTACTTGTTACTTAAAATACTTAAAATAAAAATTAAGAGACCTACCTTTCAACAACCCAGAAGCCTTTATATGGTTTGGTTTGGTTATGATCCATTAGATATTGAACTCCACTTTTTGCGCTTGGCAGCGCTACTCTCTCGGGGCAACCTGTGGTTAATCTCTCCATCCCCTGTGATTGGTCGTAAAGGGCTCCGCGGTTGGTAACAGGCGGGTTGCTTTGCCAGCAAGAGGCTGAGGGCTGGGCCCTGCTGTTTGGCCTGATCTCTAATTTGATGCTGGCCTGTCAGTTGTTCAGGGTGGATCTGTCTGGGAAATTGCAGTCTTGCACACACAGACACCCAGTCTACATAAACCAGAGCTGGGAAGCACACAGCAGAGCATGTGGGGGATGAGGTTTGTCATTTTGTCTCAATCTGTCCGCGATCGTGTGGCTTTGACTTGTGCAGCCTGTTTGATACTTCTTAGGCTCAAGTGGCTTATTTAGGGCTCAGGGTGTGTTTGTGTAAGTTTCACTAAGGAGCATTAGTAGTGCTGCTGCAGCAGGGAAGTGGTTAACAGTCTCCAGAGAGGCTCAGGTTACCATCAGCAGGGCAGGTCCTCAGCTCTGCTCCTTTCAGTGTGGTGTTCAGTGTAGACAGATACAAACAGTGCCCGGGGGATGAAGTACTGGTGCAGCAACTGACAAAGAAGCCTGATCAGGGATCTCCGTCAGGGACGAGAGAGGGAGCACGAGACACTGGGGGAGTTTAGAGTGAGAGAGACTGGGAGGAGAGATTTATTCCTGTGAAGCCTTTCAGCAGCATGGAGCCATGAAGCTCTCTGTACATCTTGGCATTTACGCTCCGCGACCTGGTTCCCACAGCAACACAGGCATCCTGAATGGGTAGGTACAATGAGTGTAATTGTGCAAGTAGCCAAAAGAAAATACATTTTGTGGTTTCTTTCATTTCCCAACTGATCTTTGGATTTTTTTTGTTTAGTTTGAAATATTGAATCACCCTAGAAAACTCTTATTCTAATACTAAGCTGTTGATATTTATTTTCTTTGTGTGTGGGACAACCCCCTGTGGCTCTGTGGATGAGTTGAAAAAGTTCAGGTTGCTCTGTTTCCTTTCATCCTTCAGCTCTTTTCTGTCTGTTTTAATCTAAGTTTGATTTATTCCTCTGGAGCATACAGGAGGAAGTTGGGTCATCTCTCAAAGCATCAGATGCGTTTGGTCTGATGTTTGTCAGGAACCAACCGGCTGATTAGGTTTTGGTGGTTTTCTGAAACTGGGAATTTTGCCATTGAAAATGTCTGTTTTTGTTTAGTTTCTTTGTTTGAAGCCATAATTACAATGTGAGCTTGCTCCTTGGTGGGAAAATTCTGGGCGTGCAAGTTGACTACTGAGCAACACTGCTTTGGTTTTGTATATACCAAAGCAGTGTATGTTTTACCTTTGTACATAGATGGAACCAGAGGGATGGTTGATTCAAAACAAGAGGATATTAGTATGGGAGTACTGAGAAATAAAGTCAGTGAGCACTTCAAGCCATCATAACTCATTTTACACTGCTGGTCTCATGCTTTTCAAATTTCTCTGAAATTTATTTAAAAAAAATAAATAAATAAGGGCACAAATAATGAATATATAGGATTGACCAGGGCATTGCCTTATCAACGATTCTGTCGTCATATAAAATAATGCAGCCCAATTATGCTTCCTAAATACTTGGTTGGTTTGTTACTCAAGATATCAGCAGGTCTACAGTCCTATCTGACACCCAGACACTGACTAAAGACGTCACCCTGTACCATCAGCTATACATGCAAAGAACTATTTGACACCTAAACCAGTTTGTTCCCAAATTGCAAGCTTATTACCACACCTTTTCTAACAAAAAATTGACACATAGTGACTATATTGGGATTTGCATAAAACTCAAACATCTCTCCTAAAATACAAACAATTAATGACAATAATCATTACCAATTAAAATTAGATTCATAATGGTCCTACATTGACAAAATTGTTTAGGAGATTTTCTAAATAATTTTTGAAGTTTCATTGCTGTTTCACACCATCGGTGACATTTAACCCTGCTTTTTACATGCCTGTTACGTTTATTTGGCTCCTTCCAGTTATTTATGTAGCTTTTTTTTTGTAGAGATGCCTCCGTCAAATTGATTCAAAGTTTTCTATCTAAGGAAAACCAGTTGATTGCATTGACTCATTGACTCAAATACAATCCCTCACATTAAGCATGCTTGTAGCGACAGTGGAGAGGAAAAACTCCCTTTTTACAGGAGGAAACCTCCAGCAGAACCAGGCTCAGTGTGAGCGGCCATCTGCCGAGGCCGACTGGGGCTCAAGGAAACAGAAGCAGAGATACAAAAAGCAACTGTAAAAGGCGGCCCAGTCCAGGAAACACACAGGCAGGCAAACGAGCCCAGAGCCAACCACCACACCAGAGGACGAAGAGAGCAAATCTAGCCACCCACAGCCAGAGAAACAGGACCACACTGAAAAACAGGCCGATCTCGAACATCTATAAACAAAGGTGTTGATGGCAGCAGCACAGCTGATATTCCTCTCCAGGATGGTGTCGCAGCCAAACAGGAACAGACGAGGCAAAGCTACAATGAGAAAAAGCAGAGAGAGCAGAAGGTTAGAGATTAAACTACGGTAACAGATTCTGCAGGGTGGGGAGAATAGGGAATTATATCAACACATCTTTGCAAGCTTATTTATTCTTAAATGATTAGATAACATTTTGAATAACAGAAAAGAATGGTTGAAGTAATACATTTAAAGAATCGACTATTTCAGGAAATGTTACTCCTATCTGCTTCTGGATCTTGGTTAGCAAGATCTGTGTCAGATGTGAACAAAAAGAACAGTAAGGGTCAATTCAAGAAGACAAATACCTTATTGACAAGCAGAGTAGAAATATATTGCAAAGTTAACACAATACGCTACCAGATGTTGCATGCAAGTTTTTTATGATCGTGGTTTGACACATATTGCTTAATAATGATTAGTAGACAACCTTTGTGAAAGAATCAGAAAATGTATTTCTATCCCCAACCTTTTTTAAATCTGATTTAACTTAAAATTGTATACAACTTTAAATTCATTTGTCATGCATTTAAAACTGAAAGAAAGCATTTTGATGTATTCAGTGAAAAAGAGAGGAAAATCTTCTTTTTGTGTTTTACCTCAGAAAAAAAAAGTGCCATCGAAGTGACAATGTAACTAATTTAAAGCCCGTTTGGATCTGAAAAATTCATCTTACTCAGGATGTTTAGACTTTTCAAAATATTGTGTGCTCTTTTTCCATTTTATAAGTTATTCATTCATTCATCCTAATTTTATAAAATTTAGGCACATGGTTTAGGCTACTCGAATCAGCTGGATGGGAATACAACTATACATTTACGACTGTTGTTTAAAAAGGAAGCTTTATGCAAGGCATTGAATAAAATTTGAAATACATTCAGTTTTTCATCTATCAAGAAAGAGTGTACTGTTTGTTTATGTTTTAGAGCAGCCAGCCCTGCACTGGCTGTCCTCATCAGCCTCCCTCTGCTCCTTTCAGAGCAATGTTTGCCAACCGGCTGGGCTTCCTGTCCCCCAAAGACCCCAAGCGGATACAAGCACAGACACACACAAACGCACCAGCACACACAGACATATTTACAGATATCCTTAACTCTTGGCACATTTGCTCTGTTCATATGGGTCTATTTGAAAAGCCCAGACACACAAGCACACCATGATGTCACCCCTCAAATGAGCCTTTGTTCAGTTGATAGACAGCCCCATTCAGACATGTCTGTGGGCCTGTGTGTGTGTGTATCCAAGTTGAAATCAGTTTAATAGAGAATAAAAGAAGAATCAGCGGGCAGTCACCAGATTCTCCTTTTATGTCTGTTTTTTCTTTGTTTAAATTAACTGTTTTATTTTTCCTGTTTATTGAAAGTCAAACTTTTTTAATTATATCAATTCAGAAACATTCAAACTTGATGATTTGAAAATAATGATATACTTGTTATGTGTGTGTCTAAAGCTATCAATTAAAATTGTGAAAGAATATTTGAAATCTTCAAAACTCATATTTATTTCTGCTGAATAAGCCAATGATAAACAGGATAATGTTCTGTTTTTTCTCTTTGTTCTTCAGTTTTATGATTGTTCTCAATAAATATTCACATTGTCTAAAGTTTCCATCTTTTCTCAAAGCATATTGTTTGCATGGACTAATGAGAGTCTCATTCCTCTTCTCTATCTGCCTGTAGCTGGGATGACAGCAGCTCAGTAAGCAGTGGCATCAGTGACAACATCGACACAGATGACATCAACACCAGTTCCTCCATCTCCTCCTATGCCAACACACCTGCAGCACAGCGCAAAGGCCTCAACACACAGGTAGGTCAACCAAAAAAACAAAACACAATTTTATGCAAAAAGTCCCTCTGTGCATCCGACAGTCAAATCTAACTGCATAGGACGGTTCCCTTATTTAGGCCAGCAAATAAGATGAATACAGAATCAAACTGGTTAATTATTTGTTTTAAATGTTTCAAATAACTGAAGCTTAAGTTTTAAAGGTGTTAATTGGACACTTGTATATAATTAGTTTAATTAAGTTTTGGTTCTACAGCTTGAAAAAAGTAGAGCAATTCTCCAACGTAAGGAATTAAGAAGTAAATTACTGTATTGATAGATGAAAGTGTGTTTTCTGTGCCCCTTATAAATATGTATCTAGCAGAGTGGCACTCTATCAGCTTTCATTGGTCTACATTATTAACTCTTATAATCAAAAATGACCAAACATCAGTGACATCAGAAAAATATTCAGATAGTGCTCAAAATGAATTTGCTGTTACTGGCTGAATTTCGTAACAGTAAACAGGCAGCTTTGTACACATTCCTAAGCCTTGCTAAGTAGTGTATTTTGGGGGAATGGGAGTAATGTCAAAAATTACAGAGATAAATTGGTCTAAAGATTGAGTCTTGTGTAAGTTGTAATAGAACTTGAAGATGAACTCAGAAGCCATGCCAGTCAATGCTTTGTCTTTTGTTTGCTTTGGGGTGGGGAAACTCTCTCTTAAATATATGTAAACATGTTTTAAGCCTGTTTGTCAGTCTTTGATATTTATTGCAGCTTGTAATCGGGTCATAAAAATGTCAGCGGGTTCTTGTTTATATTGTACACAGTCTATGATGACTGATCTGAAGCCATCCAGTGTATTCTGACCTTCATTATTACCGCATAGGTCATGATGGTGATTGAAAAATAAATGAAAGTACAAAGAGTGTCTTTCTCTCAGTGCAGCTGCATGATAGACTGCAGGTAACCAAGTCTGCTTTGTCTGTCCTCAGGCGAGTCCACATTGGATGGACTCTGTTTTTTTTTTTTAAATCTCAAAGCAGATCAGCTTCCAGCTTTTTAAAAGTGTTGCCAGGACAACTGCAGCGCAGCCATTGCAACACCTTCAGCTATTTATCTGTTTGTTTTTACAGTTGGAAAGATGCAGCACCAGCTGCTTTAAGCCAATCTGTAAATGGGTATTTGGTTAACTCCTTTATACAAATTCAGAAGGAAAGTTTTCATGGCAAACTGTAATCCTTCAACAGTGTATTAGCTGGCCTTTAATGGTAACTTTTTTTTTTGATAAGGTTATTATCAGTGCAGTAATCAGTATTCAATAATCTGAAGATCTGCTTTTTGTCAGACTTGACTCCAGTCTTGCCCTGACATGAAATTGTAGTCCTCATATTTCAGATTACCAGAACTTTTAGTGCTCAAGCCCCAATGAGATCAGACGTTCTAAAATCCTGCTGGTTAGATTAATCATTACAGTGGCTGTAGGTATTAAACTGATAACGTCTTAGAGCCTCTTGACTAAATTAGCTGTGTGTGTTTCCAGCCTGTGACGGATGCAGAGAAGCACTCTGCCTCCACAGCAGTCCACCAAGTTTGGGCAGGAGACGAGGGGAAGAGGCCCGAGGGGGGGCCAGATACGGGGGTCAGGATGGACACGGGTTCCAAGTGGAGTCGAAGAAACTGTGACGTCTCTGATGAGTCTGACAAGGGCTGCTCAGGAAGAAAGACGCCCTCTGTGTCCAACACTGGTTCCTGGAGACGAGGCATGAGCGCTCAGGTGGGGGTAACGTCACCCCGGACAAAAAGCACCAGCAGCACAGGCTCCACGGCTTCAGTCAGCCTGAAAAACCATAGCTCAGGTAACACACACATCAGTCATTCCATACAGAAAGATTTAAGGTGATAAATTATACATTGTGTTTTGAAATTGTAGACAAGTTTTAATCTGTGGTATTTGATGCAGTTTGCAGTAAACCCCCATGTTTCCTGTTATGTTATCATACAGGTCTTTTGCCACACCTAATGTTTTGTATATTAGCCAAAAAGATTTACTTTTTATCTGACCAGAGCACCGTTTTCCACATGGCTTCTGGCAAACTCCACAAGCCATGTGGAATAACAGCTTATTTCTCACTACTCTTCCATAAAGGTCTGATTTCAGATTGCATAAGTATTAGTTTTGTCAATTTATCCTTTTTTCCAGATTTCCTTTCAGAGTTGGGGGATCTTGGCTTCTTCTGATGTTGAACATTTTACATGGGTGCAGGGGTGGACCTAGAAGGGGGCGCAGGGGTGGCCATGGCCACCCATAGTAAATCTGTGGCTATCCCAACCAGGCGATTTGTTGTTCCCATTGAAACATACTTAAGAACCTACAGAGCAAGCAGTTCACCTCCAAAACAGAGGGTGGCAGCAGTGATACTCTCAGGGGGAATGTTCCAACTAACTTGATTATTCAGTTTTTCAGACCACAGGATGACAGTTATTTTTAGATATTCACATAAACATACCAAAGTATATTAAATAATAAATAATAATATATTAAATAATACATAAGCAGAATTTACGCTCTTTTCACAACTAGGTTTTCTGCTTTATGGGGAAAAGGGAATGTTTTGTGTCTCTGCTGTCACAAACTAGTATTCTATAAAATTAGCCATGAAAAATCACTGCTCAACCAATTTAATGTATAAATTATGCAAAACCCTAACTAATTTAGACAACATACATGTATAAATCTGTGTATAGATTTAGTAGCGAGGATTTAATGAATATCTAGTCTGTCTTGATGAATTCTTTTGGTAAATAGGTATGTTTGATTGTTTATTTCCCTGTTGGTAATCTGTGATTAGTGTAGACTGACCCTAAACTGTTTTTTTTTTCGTTTCGGCCAGCCCTCAGTGCATGTTGGTCCTTGCCTGGCCACTCCTATGGGTGCTGTGTCTGACACTTAGTGGTTGCAATGTAATTAAATGTGAAAACGTTTTGGTAGTACGAGAGCTGCTGTAATGATATCTAGATGCTTGTGTCCGTTTCATCAACTCTGTGAAACTCCCTATGTTTCTTGCAGCAAAAACTGATGATGTAAAGGTGTCAGAGAAAGGACGACTCTCCCCTCGCTCTAATGGCCTCCAGCACTCGCCCTCAGATGCGGGACGCAGCAGTGGCGACGAGGCCAAAAAGCATTCGGTTCCCACCAGCCGCACAACGACCTCGAACCCTCTCACTCACACCATCTCAGACCCGCAATCCCACACGCACATGCTGTCAACCCGCACCCCCACCAGCACCTTCGGGTTCAAGAAGCAAGGTACCGGCATGGTAACCATGGTTACAGCAAGCGGTGCCACCATCACCAGTGGGTCAGCCACTTTGGGGAAGATGCCCAAATCCGGGGCACGCTCTTTGTCAGGTGGCTTAAAATCCGGTGGCCCGGATGGAGGCTCAGCATTGAGTCACCATGACGACGGGTTCCTCCCAATGAGCGCCCGCTCAACCCTGCAGTACCGCAGCCTGCCTAGACCCAGTCGTTCGGGAGCAGCCGCCCGAAACGGCAATCGGTCGTCCACTAGCAGCATCGAGGCAGCCGTGCTCTCCGTTACCTCTCACGGGAAGAACTCTTTTAGCATTAGCAAGCCCAACAGCTCAATGGGCCTGCTGGCAAATCAGACCGACCGGGAGAAGGGCGTCTCTGATGTCGACAACCTGAGAAGCGGAGGTGGGATGCAGAGCGGAGGAGGAGCAGTGACGGGAAGACAGCAGGTTTCCTCACCTACACTGCGCAGGTGAACATGCACACCCCTCCTCAGACACACTGACAGCTCACCGATGAGCCACTCTAAGCCCTCTTGTATGGGCTTGACTTCACCCCCATGATACACTCACAGAAAGACTTAATCATGCAGTCACAGTACATGGTGAAGTAAGGGATCACACGTGTGGGCCTGTTTTACACACACACACACACACAGTATCTGAGGTTAAATGAGGGCATTGTGAATTGAGGCCTTGAGCTGAGCTGATCAGCTGCCAAGCCTCCGCATTGGTGGTGTGGTTGGAGGGGGTAACAGGAGGGTGTGGTGCTCTGTAATGGAAGCTGAGTCTTACCTCAGCACTCTGCCCTCATTAATGTAAGGGAGTGATAACTCTTCAAAGAAAACCTCATGCTGTTATCCCCCACTGCAGCTTCAATCATCACGGCCCGCCGATTAACTGTAACCCAGGAACAAGGAGAGAGTTGTGGGTCTTTTCCTATGTTGGCCTTTTGTCAGATTTAAGCACCATTTCCTCTGTTACTCATTATAGGATTATAAAAAGCTTATTTTTTAGATAAAATTAGAAACTCAAAGCACCTTTTCCCTGTCCTGGCATCGCTCCCTCATGGCTCTTCTCAAGACTGCTAAGCAGGATGAAGAAAGCCTTGAAACGTATCCAGTAAAAGCACAGAACACAGACATTGTAGCTTATTAATGGTAGATCACACTGTCACATCTAGCATCTGAACTGCTTAACGATACTTTTAGGTTTAAAAGTAGACAGATGTATAATTTAAGGATTGTTTGGTTCACTATCAATATGTAGTTTTACTTATAATGGGTTTAAATACAGTTTTTAAAGTATAAGATGTAAATACTGTGATTAAATGCCCTGTTTATCATAAAATTGTAATATTGTTAATAATAGGTTTACTACGTCTTCTGAATACTCCCATTTGTTTTTGACTGCTTTATTTAAGAAAAGTTGAGTTTTTCTTTTATTTGCTTTGTTTTTTACTGAGAACAAACCTTTTTAAGTGTTTATATGTTCTAACCTTAGTTTTCTCACAATCCTTTAACAACACTTACCTTTTTGTTTTCTTTTATATCTATTATATAACTTTAGGTTATTTGGTGGTAAGGCCAGTAAACAAGCCCCAGTCACCACTGCTGAAAACCTGAAGAATTCCACCGTCATCTCCAATCCCCATGCCACCATGAACCATGTTCCTACAGTGCTAGAGTCCCCTGATGGAGTGCTGGGAGGTGGGGACAGTGAGTCAGGTAGCCCCCTGTGCGGAGGCAGAGCTCTGGGTTCAGGAACAGGGACTCTGGGCAGCGAGCAGGTGAGCCACTCTTATGGTCAACCAGAGCAAATCCTTTAAAATTAATGAAATCCCACTTTAAGATATCTTTGTAAATTGTTCATTGATTGAAAATATTGAATAAATTATTCATGTTTTTCTTGGGTAGAAGTATGACGTAACATTTATTGTTGGCAGATATCTTAATCTTTATTAAGTCTTAATTGAATTAATATTGTATCAATTTCAGTCTCATGTTAATATCCATAGTCAAAACTTCTTGGAACACTTAATACCTCAGACATTTAATTTAAAGACAGCTACCCACCTAGTCAGAGGTCTAAAAGTTTAGACGTTATTGTTTCCTTTGTTCATACAAGAATAAACTCTAACAGTGTTAAATGTGGGAGTGTGTTTAAAGAGCTACTTACAGGAATTTGTCAGGGATGCCAGGATTATTCTGTTCACACCTTTCTAATACCACAAACACGTTGACTTCTTTACACAACTCAGGTTCAGGTAGAGCACGGATGAGCCTAGAAGACTCCCCTTTGACAAACAGGAGATTCTTAATGGTTTCAGAAACTTATATGTTTGAGCATGCTCAAACTGTCTCTCCATTCACTCTCACATGATTCATAAGTTTGATCTTTCTAGTTATGAGTCATATGATGACACATGGGGTGATGTTTGTCTAAAGAGTAGGCCTGTTTTAACAAACAATTGACAGTTCAAAAGTTTATTCAATTATTTAAGCCTCAGTTTACATTGACTGGGACTGTGGACGCTCCACATGACAATACTGCCACTGAAATTTGGACTAAAAAATAAACATTTATGCTTAAGAACGTAGCAATAGTTTTTTTTTTTTTTTTTAAGAAAATGAAAACAAGACTAAGGAGCAAAGAGGTTATTCTGGAACTTAAACCATATATTGCAAATACAGCCACTGGCTGGCATAATAATTGAAGGCCTTCTTTCATATTAGCATCCCAGGTCAATTTTTGTACCAGAGAGAGCTTCTATAAAAATGGTAAACCTCATCTTGAATTTATTTTCCAGGCCTCCAGCCCAGGATCAATTTATTCCTCCACTGGTCCCTCAAACAGCTTGACATGGGGAACCACCTTCAGTGGCTCCTCTGTCCCGAGCAGGGAGGGCACTCTGGCTGGACATGGTTGCGCAGGCAGTGTGGGCTTTCCCTCCGTCAGCAGCATGCACACCAGCAGTGAGTCCATTGACATGAGTCTTAGCAGTGCCGGAGGAGGTGGCGGAGGACAGGGGAACCACAGGGAGGACACACTGTCTGCTCTGGGTCGCACCGGGAGCGTCAAGACCGGCATGTCAGAGAGGTGAGGGCGTAAATATAGAGTTATAGAAGACTAATAATCAGGAAATGGATTTCTTCTCTAATCTTCTATCTGGAATGTTTTCTTAAAGTTTCACAGAAAAAAATTTATAAAATAATTTTCTAAGTTATATTATGTCTCGGTTTGACACATATTAGTTTGTAACTGTGTTTGTTTTACTATGCCTTAGAAGCACACCAGAATATAATTCAGCTGATGTTTAGTTACATAGAAAAAATAATGTGCTACATAGCTCGAATGTGACAAAATATCAGCGGGTTGATATTATTTTATCCACACTCTCTCCAGCTAAACAATTTACGGTAATAAGAATTAACTGCAATATTTTCTTCTGCAAAACCCAAGGAAGATCTCATATGGGCATATCGGTTCAGTCATATGTTTGTGACAGATTGTTCGGTTTAATTAAAGTGGTAAATGTTTTCAACCTGTACAGCAAAATCCATTGCACTTTTCATTTGGAAATGAAGAAACAGGCTCTGTTTCAGAGGTAACATTTTTTACTGCACATTAAAGTTAAATAGAGCTGACATCATGGAGAAAAACGATAATATTATTGATATAAATAAGTAGATATATTGATCAGACTTATAGTACCCATGTATTATGAGCACCTCTGTTCTTAATGTTTTAAAACACAAAATTATTAATATCCCTTGAAAATGTATTCTTTTTAGGTGGCATTTTTTGTGTGATTGAAAGTTAGAAATATTGACTAAAATTACCAGAAAAGTTGGAGCACATACATTTGTATCCAGGCATATGGACTCAGGGAACTCAAAATAAGCAACCTATGCAACCTAGTGCTTCTAGAAATTATCTAGTTAATGAATTGTAGCCCAATATAAGTTAGTCATGAATTATGGGAATGATCAATCGTACTCTTTAGCAATGAAAGAATCCTTTAACACATGAAAATAGATGCTCCAGTCAGGTGAACCCTTTGGCGAAATAGTGTGCAGCAATACATTTATGCTGCACTTTAGCATGATTACTCCCCCTGGTAAGACTTGGTGCTTTCAGTCTAAGGATTTTGATTGTTGTTGTTTTTATATTGTTTTCCTATTGATGCATTGACCTAAATAAAAGACAATCATTGAAAAAATACAGTTAAAGCAGGCAAAGACTTGGGACGGGGGTGTATGCTTTACAAAATGCAAACAAAACTTTTGGATTATTATTTCTTTAAAAAAAAACTATCCTCATGTCACAGCCGTGTGAATATTTTCTCTAACATCTTAATGAAATACTTTAAAGTTCTGGCTGTTTCTTAACAACATATGAAAAATTCAAGAGTCATTAATACTTTTGTGGTTAAAGCTCTTGTATTCATGAGATACATTCTTATATGTTAATGATTGGCAAAAAAGAGAAGACATGAAATATGCATGTTGTGTAGCTTTAGAAATTCCAGACCAACTATAAGGACTTCCTACTTAAAAATTCCTAAAATGAGGATGATTTCAATAAAGCAGCTATGATGGTAAAGTCTCCTCATGTTTGCCTTTCAGTGTTCAGCCAAAGTAGAAATATCAAATAATTTGTCTTCCTTGGTTTCTTTTTTAATACAGTAGCCGATGCCTTTCTGACAGTTTGTGTAATTTGATGAGAATGTCTCAAAGGAAACATTATATCAACTGGACTTAAAGCTGTGGTATCACTGTTGTCCCTCTCAGATGAGTCCTTGCTATTGAGTTATGTTCTGAGACATTCCTCATCTACCTCACTCTCTAAAACTTTGCTGTTTTTTTGTGTCTGTTGTGCGTTTTATTTTTTCTTTCCTGTCTTTCATCAGTCCCCTCTCCTCGCCCTCCGCTAGCCCTATATTCAGCAGAAACACGCTACCTCGGAGGCAGGACAGGTAAATCTACCTGTGTGAAGTGTTAGGCTCTTTGCTGAGGTGGGTGGTCCCATTAAACCACCACCTGCTGCCACACAGGGAGCCCCCATCTTCTAGGTTTAGAGTCTGTAATCTAGTCTCCTTGTTTGTCCTTGCAGCTTTGTGGCCCTGTGTGGTAGTCTGTGGTTATTTTTAAGACTTCTTCAGATGAGAAATTATAAGTTATATAGATTGTTGTTTCTTAACTTATCAAACACTGCCCCCTGGCGGTTAAGGGAAGTGTTACATCAGTGTTGCGTTTATGTTGTCACAATATTTAGGATCTAGAGGCCAGTATGCTTATTTGTTTTTATTACAAGCATTACTTACTTTTAAGTGTTTCCCTTGTTATTTATGTAAAAAGAAAGAACCCAAAGTTCTTTGAAAAGATGATCATTTTTGCAAGAAAACAGAAACAGACTTTCCAGATTGGGCATTGAATACAGAATAGAAACTATTGTTAAAAATAATAATTTAGCAAGTTTTTTTTGCCTCTTTCAGCCATTTGTGTTCCTCTTCTGAAGTGTTTCTCTCCCACAGAGGGCCACATTGTGGTAGAAACACTCTGCCTAAGAAGGGATTCAGGTACCGCATTTGTTTGCGTTGGACGCGTTTCACTCTTTCACTCTGGTTTACCAGAATTTGCTTTGTTTTCCTCGTTTGCCTTTTTTCCTTCCCCCACAGTCTTCACATCATCTCGTTAAGGCTTCTCCTCACGCTTTAAAATGCAAGATTTTGTTTGGCACTTGGCACATGTGCTGTTGTGTTGAGTGTTTTCCCACTGTGCAGATCTATAAGTGTTTTGTGCAGGAACAGGCATGACCTTTTTGTATTGGGGTCAGTTTGTTTTTTTTGTCTGTTCTGCTTTTTCCATTGCCTAAATCTAAATGCAGTCCTAGTTCACGCTGTTGTAATATTTTGGTGCAGCATCAGTTTCATCTTCATGTCAGATCCTGGTGATTTAATCTTGTTTCTTGAGCAAAAAAAAATTCCACAAAGTTCAGCTCAATTTAGCTACATTCTTACTGCAGCCTGAAGTGATCCTAATCAGATGTTTTTGCCCATATGCGACCTGTATCTTATCTTTTCATGACAATCTGAACAAAACAGATCTGATTTTTCCAAATGCGACCCAGACCACTTGGCTATTTGGTCCTGAATCAAATACAGATCTGATCATTTCAAATGCGACCTGTGTATGAACGGCCATGACGCATTCATCCAACCTGGATGTAATTAATACTCAACAGAGGTCAATATTCTGCAGCATGCTAAGCAGAAGCAGGAAGAAAAACAACAACCATGGCAGAGGATAATACAGAGAGCAGTCTTTCTTTTCGACCCTCTTTAATAAATTGCATTGTTAATGTACTAATGTGTTGGAAAAGAAATGAAAGATTGTGAGATGCGTTCCAGCACTATCATTCGTAAACACAGAACACGCTTGCTTGGGACGTCATTGTGCCCCCTGCTGTGCATGTGTGACACTCAAGTTATATGATTGCAGCTCACACAGAAAATCACATTCAGTTTGTATATATTTTGAATTGTAAACAACCATTCAAAATAAACGGATTTAACAAAAAAAAAAAAAAATGGAATTGAGCATTAAGGCCTGCAGTGTGAAAGTAGCCATATTGTATAAAAACATGGTCCCATATCATTGCCAGTGTTCTCCTCTGTTGTGTCTTGGGTTCCATGTAACCTATTTTCTTGATTCTCTGCAGGTACGGTCCGTCACAGCAGCTGCGAGGTCATGAGGATCGTGATTGGCTGCGCTCCCATTCCACCAGCGGGCTTCAGGACTCTACCAGCAATTCCCCCTTCTCCCCCGGCTCCAGCCTAACCTCTCCCTCTGGTACTCGCTTCAACTTTGGACAGCTGGGTAGGATACTAAAGGACAACTTTACAAATACAGCTGAGGCTTATCTGTGAGGCTAGAGACTGTTTATGAGACAAGAAATGCCAAACCCTCAGATATTTATTTGTAAAAAGTCAGCTTTTCTTTAAAATTTTTTAAACATTCAAATGATTACAGAGATCCTCTGAAATTTGTTGTCAAAATAGACTATTGATCCAAGCTTTGTGTTTTTTTATGCCTTTTTACAGCAACCAGTCCAACCTCTGCAGGTCAGATCAACCTCGCCAGTCTGCGCAACAACAGCCTGACAAATCAGGATACTCCTTTTGATCCCTGCAGCGACAATCGGCTGAGAAACTCCTGCATGTCGCTGGATGAGAAAACCCGCACAATGAGCCGATCTGGATCATTCAGGGATGGCTTTGAAGAAGGTAAGACGTCTGGTAATGTTTCTGTTTCACATTAAGGATTCAATCAGGTGTAATCATGATTAAACTAGTTCTCCAGCCTCCATTAAGCTTTCATTTCCAATTATTAAGTCCTGATGCCAGAAGAAATATCTGTTCATTTCCATAAAGAGCACTAGCCCTAATTCCAATAGTTCCTATTGGAAAAAACAAAACAGAAAAACAATATTAATTCCCTTAGAAACCCTTAATGTTGTGATGTTTGGAATAGATACATTGCATACAGCATATGCCATCGTCATGCTGTTTTGTTTTACTTGTATTTGGTTCCCATATTACGAGATTTAAGACATTTATGCTAAAAGGAAAGGTTAATATAACTGAATTAAATGTGAACATTAGTCTTATTTGTCTGTCTTTCTTAAAAAGCTTGTTTTCAGGTTTATTTTTTTAAGTAAACATAAATGGCAGCTAGATGATTATGTTTCTATTATCATGTATCCAACAGTTTATTTTATTTTGTATTAGAGCTGAGGAGCTGTCTGTTAGCTATTGTAAAGTTTGTCTTCAAAGCTGAACATCTAAGGCAAACACCAGGTGAAAAACCCAGATGAAGCCATGTTATTACACCTAATGCATGCGTAACATATCTGCCTCAGCCCCCAGCCAGCCCCTGCACCACTTATTCTTCTCCCCTTTCAGCAGCAGGGATAATTACAGGGATCGCTGTGAGAGGTGTGAGTGAGACGTGGTGACATTTAGGAAAAACCACCAAACAAAACTTTCTCCCTCCTACTTTCTCTCCGTCTTTGTCTGCATTGCACTGTCGTTTCTGCAATATCTGCATGGCCTTGCTTCTCAAGTGTAAAGTTACCTTTCAACCAGAATGTGACTGACAGCACAAAAGTCACCTCATCCATCCAACACTTTGTCGGACCATGCTTAAGGAAAGCAACAACTCTGTACTCTGTCATCTCATTTACACCACAGTAAATCCACCCTGCTTATATTCATCTGCAAGTCTTTTTATCTGCACAATCTGATCATGTTGAAGGAGAATTGATAAGATTATAAACCATTTTCTACATGACAGTCTAAGTACAGTTCTTGAAATAAAATACAGTATATATGATAACTAGCTGTAAAGGAAAAGACAAAAAAATATATAATTTTACCAAGATTCTGTCAATTTCAACCCAGACATGGACATAAAGACAGTTTTCTCAGGATCCCTCCTATTCTTCTCCACTTCCTCCGCCTCTTGTTGCAGACTCGGGGCATTCCCGAAACATGGAAAACATATAATCTTTCCAGTGAGTCTTGGGTCTACCCTGAGGCTTGCTCCCAGTGGGATGCATAGAAAGCACATCTCTAGAGAGTTGTCTCCAAGTCTTCCTCTGCTGGTCCCTGAACTAACTGAGCCATTTCCTTCCAATTTAAACAACCGCCTCCTGAAGGACTGAGCTCTTTAAATAATCAGATGTGCCTCAGCTGGGCCTCACCTCTCACTTACTGGCTGTTGGGATAGGTTCCATTATGAATGAATGGATGGATTAAAATGTATTTGGATGAAATAACAGGAGATGATGAAACAACGGCAGTTTTCCAGCTACCTAAGAGCTGTTTTAAAAGCTCCTGTTTTAGTTGCAAGTTTTCAACAATGGTTTAAAAATATAACAGCTTAGGGATTTGTTTTTACTCATCTTTAGGTTGGAACTTTTGAAAAATCTTAAAAATACTGAGGGAAAAAAACTGTGCATATATGTTGTTTTAAACTTTACAACTCAAGAACTGAAGAATGTACCAACAAAGCCAAAGCAAGAGTAAGGTGTCCCTCATGTTGAGACTAAATAAAATCCGTAATCTATACGTTAAAAAAAGAAGGGGTGGAATTTTATTTTAAATTTTTTTTTGAAGCATGCATAGCCCTATTAATATAGTCTATTAACCTAAAGCAATATGCATGGTATGTTTGTTACATGTCAGGTACGCCGGTCATTGACATTGACCAAGGCACCTTACAGTAGAACTGCAGTCAGTCCCTGGACTGGCATGGCTATCTCTGCCCCTACATAGTTAGGGACAAATGTCCCACTGGGTTTAGCTTCATAGTCATGGTAGGACACTTCTTTGATGTTATTTATTTTGCTCAGGCTACTCGTAAGCCCACAGCCTGCCAAATGTTGAAAGGGCAATATAATTGCCATTAACTGTTAATATGTAGTTAAAATTTTAAACATTTAGTAATAAAATATCACAGGGGATTGTATGGGGGGGGGGGGGGGTGTTTGTTTAAGAAGGGAGATGATTTTTAAGATTTTTTTTAAGAAAGGGTATTCCATCCCACCTCCAAGCCTGCTCCCCCACCCCCACCCCCCAACTTGAGTTTTGAATAAAATCATCAAATCAATTTAAAGACCCTGTACATACAAGCTAGTGACGTTTCTCTGACGCACAGAGAGGTCAACCCAATGAGACAAAAACAAGCTTTAGACGCCATCTTCCTAAACTAATGAGGCAGTCATCTTGTTCATTAAAAGTTGCATCAGTTTTAGCCTTTTATCCATCTGTCCCTCCTTTTTCCCTCCTCCGATTTTTGCAGGGTCCCTGTTTTAATCCTGACTGTTATACAACTGTCAGCTGTAAATTTGCAGCAAGTATTGGATTTTTTTTTTTTTTGTATTTCAAATTAAACCAGGAAGCTCTAAAGACTTTTATTATTTAATATTTTTAAAAGACAGTCAGAAACTAATTTAGTCCAAAAGGTCATTAAAACAGGATAACCTTATTGTTTTGTCTCGCAGTGAAAACTAAATGTTCTCCTTTTATGTGGCTGACGAGACACTTTTCTGTCTAGACCAAACAAAGATAAGATCCAGTAGTCTAAAAAACTTCTATCTGCCTTTTTAAACAGAACAAATTATTCTTTGCAGATCAGGCCGACCTCTCGTTGTGGTTTCTGACATCATATCACTGATCCCTTCTAATCTGCTCCCAGACGGGGAACAGTACCGGCCCTGTTTCCAGAGTCTCGCATGCGATTAGTCACTGAGTCACTGCGGTAGTGTTCAGGTTGTCATTAGTTGCACCACAGCTTGACTGTAATGTGAAGGAGTTTTATCTTTATAGCCACTGAGCCGTAGTCACTACATTAAGCTTTGAGCTAAATTTGATTCTGGGACCAACCTCCACGCCAGACCACACCCACCAGTGTCCAGACTTTACTTTTGGTCTGTTGTAAAATGAACTATTGAATCAGTCTGAAGGTCGTTCCTGCTGTGGAGCTTTATATCAATTTATTTCTCTTCCAAGAAACCTATGAGTTAAAATGTTCTCCTAGTTATAGTGTGCATAAAATGAATAAATGCATCTAGAATGTCGATTTAGATTTTCAGAAACCTGTGCAGCAATGTCTAAATACTTTGATTAATTCTAAATCATTTTAGTTACACATTTAGAGATTATATTGAGAGGTTGAAGTTATTTGCTCATGGTGTCTTCCTAGGAGCTAATCAGCAGCTTGAGTTGCTAAAGCCTCGACCAGCAATAAATCACATTGATATACAATCAGAGCCATTTCCTAATCCCAGCTTTTCTTTTGTTTTGTTTTTCCCTCTTTAGTTCATGGATCCTCTCTGTCTTTGGTATCCAGCACCTCCTCTATGTACTCTACGGTGAGTTTAACTACCCTCACAGACATATTTGTTCCCTTTTGCTTCTTTTTTTCTGGATCAAATTAATTAGGATAAAATTGTCTCTAATGTGTTAAAAGCTAAAAAAAAAAAAAAAAAAAAAAAACACTCAATAATCTGAGCAGCTATTCTTTTGGAATCAACTTTAGTTTACTTAAATATGAAATTTTATCACTCAGCCCCCAGAGTTATGTGACTCATACATCCTGTAAGGATAAAAGTATTGCCGTAGTCACACGGACATACAGGGCTCAGCCCACATGAACACGCTGGGATCTAAGTGCATCCCAGGGAAGCTCCTCCTCCTTCTGGGCTTCTTAACTCACCTGAGCAGGTGTAGCAGAGAAATTCTCAGACATGTTTTAAACCTCTGAGCCCCGAGAGACTCTGGAAATCATAGCAGGCAAGAGATTGGAGAAAAGATGATGGCGACTTTATCCCTGACGGGAACCGTCTCACCTTGGCAGCAAACGGTAGGAGAGTGTGGAAGTTACAGATTAAATGGAACATTGCTCAGAATCAGCTTTTTAAAAAGAGCTGAATTTGCCTAGTGTCATGGGGTTTCATAGAAACAGGATCTATGTGTTTTTAGCTGCTTCTTAAATCTAAAAACAGATCTTCTTTTGCATTACAGTGAGAATTCTCTGTGTTTTACTTGTGTCTGTGTGTGAGATTGAGCAGCCCTGCGTGGACAGATGCCTCTTTGTAAACCACATACCACAGCGCAGATCCGCTAAAGCATGCTGCTCAGACACAGTTAGGAAGCTGTTTACAGGATTTGGGGGTGAAGAATGATTTCTTATATCTTTTATTGCACAGTTGCCTCTTTAAGCTTGCTGTTTAGAAAGATAAAAAAAGAAAAATGCTTTAATCACGCCTTAAAATTAACCCCATAACAAAGCAGTAATAATAATAATAATAATCCATAAATATGATAAGGCTGAGTTCATGGGCAGCTACAGTACAGTTTTGTTTACTTGTAAATGTGGGTGTTTCACTGTTATGGTGACCAGCATCAGGGTGTGTTGTGTTCGTGCGAGCCAGCATTTGTTTTGCATGCTCTCGCTCCATATTTCTACTTATCAGCTGTTTGTTTTTTTTTTTTTTTGGGCCATTGTTCCATGTTATGCTTCTGAGGACAATGAGCCAAACACACAGAGAAATGCCTTCAGGAGGATATCTCTGCTTCCCAGAAATATTACACCAGACTATATCCTGTGCAGTTTATAAAGCTCGTCTCCAAGGAGCTAATAAATCAAACAGTAGAGGCCAGTCTGATGGCAGCAGGTTGAAAAGTCTAATGGTTTCCTTTTCTTGCATTTGTTTTACAGAACGAGGAGAAGTCTCAGTCAGAGGTAAGCATCAGCACACTCAGGACTTTCATCCTCTTTAATTTTTTTATGTGCACTGGTTGGACTTGTTGGAACATGGGCATGTTATTGCAGTTGTATCCAGTTACACATGTAGCCATAATGTGTCTGACCGTCTAACAGGCCCCAGTCTTATTTCCTGAACACCTGTGCACACCTGTATGTGCTGCTTTATGTTTCTTTAGTATTTTATCTTCTAACCAAGGCTGAATTGCACTTACAAACTCTGTTTTTAATGTTGTCTCTTATGGAGCCTTTTTTTATGCTTTTGTTTTGATCCTGCAGATCCGGAAGCTACGGCGGGAGCTGGATGCCTCCCAGGAAAAGGTTTCCGCCCTCACAACACAGCTGAGTGCAAATGTAAGCAAACAAGAAGGTCAACACACGCTTTGGGGAACCTATATCACAGATTATATCACTGACTATTTACTGCATGAACTTAGTGTGCAAAGATTTCCCATTGGTATGAACAACAATAACAAAAGTGACCGTTTTTATGATTAACTATTTTGGTATCTTTTGAATATATTACGTTATATGAAACATGTTTTTTTTTTTTTAAATAGCAATATCTAGATTTATTTGCAGAACTGAAATCCGAAATTCAATTTAATTGTTTCAAAGAGTTTGATCCACCTACAGTTCCTCGTATTTTAAAATTTTACAGTCACAAACCTCTGTGGTCCGATTGTTTTTCAACAATTTCTTTCTTGTACTTTTATGTACTTTTATTGACCCAATTGTATGTCAGACTGACATGTTTGCTCACTCTGCTTTATAAAACAAGACCAGTCAGACTGGATAGAGATCTTAGAGGATCTTTAATTTTCAGATATAGATGTGGACTGAAACATTTTTATTGTAGCAGTGTCTATATATCTACAGGTAAAGCAGGAAAAAATCTAAAATCTTTGAAGTAGTGTTCCTAGAGCACTGGTGTTGAAAACACAGATCTACAGGCAACTCTTCACTGTTGGATTTCACCACACATCCTCTGTGCATGTAGGCAATAAAAGTGGTTTCATTCTCTTACCAGAGCGTCTTCCTTCTAAATGTTGCTGTATTCCATCGAAAGCTTCTCCACAAGAAGCTTTTTATTACGTTTTTGTCTTTCCAATCTTTCTAAGAAGGCCTAAGTTGAGGAGGGCGACATGAACTCTAGACTTTTGCTGCTCTTCCAATTACTATGAGCCTTTTGGCTGCTCTCTTATTAATGTTCCCTTTGTTTGCCTTTGCACTTGTTCTGCACTTTTTCCATCTTCAGAGGACGGATTGAGCTTAGCTCTCTGAGAAATTTAAACCTGAACGTATCTATTTCTGCTATACTTCTCTCCCTGATCTGTCTGCCCACTAATGTTCTCTTTAAGACCTTCCTGGTAGAGCTTGAATTCTCCTTTAGTGACTTATTCTGATCTTTAGTCTACAGATCCACTATTTTGTGATTACTTTTTTCAATAAGGTATAATTTTCTTATCTTTAAAATTGTTAAAAGTACCAGAACGTTTGTCAGTCACACATTGAAAGGTATTCAAAACACAAATTTTCACTAATCCCTATCACAAAGATGCCAAAGTGATCTTTACTCTCAAAGGGTATAATTTTACTACTGGCAGAACCATCAGAGAATCTCCTAAAGTATCTCTAGACACGAACATTTCTGCCTCCCCCCTGTCTGTGTTGCACAAGTCCTGCCACGCTCTGCTGATTTTAAAAGATATGGAGGAAAGCAAAAGGTGTTGGATAACAGCATGTACTCAAGTGCCGGCACACTGCTACCTGATTTAAAGATCAGATTGTAGAGCCAGTGACGCCTGCATACAAGGCGGAGCACCGGGGGGGAGTGGTGGTGGGGGGTGTTATTCAGGTCAGAGAATCTTGTGGTGTGTCACAAACTGATGAGGGATTATCTGAGCACACCTTATGCCTCTGAGTTAGAAAATGAAAGATATCGTGGTAGGATATGTTTTAGAGCCGGTGGTTCTTCACTCTGCATGGTTAAACCAACAAACTCTTTCTCTAAATTAATCCTCAATCATTTGGTGTCATGCAGGGTTAACATTATTACATACAAAATCCTCTAGAGCCTTTTGTTCTGACACAAAGACAGTGGCTTTAAATAAATCTCAGTTCCAGGCTCAATAGTTTAGACTCACTGTTCTGTAATGTAATAACCAGCAGCTAGTAATTTATCTAAAGATGTTATTTTTATGAGATTATTTGGGTTTTGTTTCACTATGGTGACCTCATGCTTGGGTTTAAGCCTTAAGGCTCCAACAGTTATCACAACAGAGTCGATATTTCTCCTCTCACTCAACCGTTCAGTGGATTTTTGGCTTTTAAAGCTGCAGATTGAGACTGTTTTTGATTCCTAGTTGGTATTATATATATATATATATATATATTATCTGGGGCAATTGTCAATATATAACCCAGGGTCCTTCTACAAACAAAAGGGTGATCTTAATCATTAGTTTTTTTACTTTAGTGAGAAAGAAATAAGATACAATTATTTAATTAATCATTGACTTTTTTTTCCCACAGGCTCACCTGGTGGCAGCGTTTGAACAGAGTCTGGGCAACATGACCATCAGACTGAAGAGTCTAACACTGACGGCAGAACAGAAGGTAAAAACAGCTCCTCTTGTTCTAATACCACACATTCAGATAATGCCTCTACTTATCTAATTTAATGTCTTTCCAACATGTTATCTGTAAAGGACTCTGAGCTGAATGAGCTGAGGAAAACTATTGAGCTTCTTAAGAAGCAGAATGCTGTCGCTCAGGCTGCAATTAATGGAGTCATCAACACACCTGAACTTGTACCTAAAGGAGATCGGACAGGTAAGAAACTCCATACTCAATGTCTAGATTGGGGTATTTTAATTAGGGTTTGTCCCAAAATGTGTTTTACTGTAGTACTGCAGACATAATTCCGTCATCCACTGACCTGATATTTTAGAAACTGAGACAAACTGAGCTAACAGAGCCTGTTTAAATGACATGTTACGTATGTGTTCTCAGCTGCCAATAACGGCACTCAGCAGCAGCAGCAGCCGGATCTGCGCATAAGACGGCAGCACTCCTCTGACAGCGTCAGCAGCGTCGCCAGCGCCACCAGCCACTCCAGTGTGGGCTCCAACATGGATGCAGATGCAAAGAACAAGAAGAAGAACAAAAAAAACTGGGTAAGAGTCTGAGAAATCGTAGATGGAGCTCAATAGAACAGATTATTTAAATATTTCTTCATTTTAGTCATTTCCAAAAATGAAACTGGTATATGTATTTATTAATTATTTGTTTCAGGAATTATTTCTGTTGACTTTGAAGAGAATATATAAAAATAATGAAAATCCGACAAAAATTCAAAAATTCACAGAAACCAACCAATAAGATGTATCATATTCTATGTAATGAGTCTATTTGAGTGAAAAAGCCAAACAAATCACCTTTTTCGGTCATTTTCTGAGATGTACCTGTAAATATTTTAAATGTAAAGCCAGGTGAAGTCACTTTCTGCTGACTTATTAAAAAGATCAGTCAGGATGTTTTACCTGACTGATCTGACTGACTGATTTACCTTTATATTTGTTTCTCCAACTTCACGCATGTTTCCGGGTTTTTCCTTCTTCAGCCTTCTTTTTCTGGGGATAAGGTGAATACACCAGACTTTGCTCCACACAGTGCTGTGAAGTGAAAGGTTTGATTTGGTGTTTTTACAGTCCAAAAACGGGATTTCAATTTCTTTGTAAATAAAGTAAATCACCAAATCAATGCTTAATAGATGGTTTCCAGTCATCATAGCTCTTCTTTTATAAGCAAAGATTTGAAAAACAGTTTCTTATTCACTTAATGCCTAAATCTGAGCTTTGTTTTTCTGATATCAAAAGCCGCTGCTGTGCACCGGTGGAAAAGTCCAGGATGATGATGTATGCAACTTGTTTTTTGTTTTTTTTTATAGAAACCATTACCGCCTTGTGTTTGCTCATTTATCATCCTTTTGTCAGTAATTCCTCCTTTAGGTCATAGTGATAAAACCTAACATCCCTTTCCGCCCCTGTATGTGGGTGTCTGTGTTTTTGTGGCGAAGACCCCACACCTGGCTGCAGGTGTTACTCATAGGTGTGCAATATGGAGTACATAGGGGCTCCATTTAGAGGGGAGCCTCTACTGAAAGGCTTCATGTTTCATGATCATTAAAGCCTTTGTAGTTCCTCTGGTTGAATTTTGTCCCCCCCATAAAACATTAACATAGAAAACTATTTGAACATGTGCTGTTTTGTCTCCCTGTCTTCCTCTGCCTCGCTTCATGTGGCAGGTCTATGAGGTAAGGGTGGTATGCTGTGAAAGAAACCAGAGTCTAACCCCTGCACCTCCTATAGGTTACTAACCACAATCCTTTTTTTTTTTCCCTCGCTGTGTTTTAGCTCCGATCGATCTGTCCCTCCTCTCCAACACTGCTCCCTTCTAAACAGTTCTTATGACACTTGAAGCAGCTCCTTTTAGACAACAGCTGTATCCATGGCACAAGTACACATATTTGCCTTAAATAAGTTGTACACTCCTTTATTGGTTCTTCTGGTAAAGATGTGCAATAAGCCTTAAAAAAAAGAACTATGTTGCAGAACTATGTTCTTACACTGAAAAATGAAGAAAAAGAGGCAAACATCACATAAAGCCCAAACGTTTGACACCTCTCTAGATAATGGATTCTAAAATCGCCTGATTTCCAACACTTAATCTTCTCACTTGACATTTTCAAAGTTTAAGAACGCAAAGAGAGACATCTGTAAGCCTTCCTGTTTATAGAATCTTTTTTTCCGCTTTACCTTCAGATCTTTTTAGAGCCAAGGTATGAAAACTGCATGTTGCCATTAACTTGCAAAAAACCCACTGAAAAAAAGATCCTAATTTTCCTTTATAATTTCATGGTTTTTCAAAAAGTTAATATGTCCATGCGAGAGAAAATGGGCTCAGAGCAACATGGTTCCTTTGCTGTACTTTTTAATGTATCAATCACTTTCAAATCAGATGTTTATAGAGTATTTAATCAGATTAGGCTTATATTAAAATTAATAGCAACTAACCAAAGTTTTATTACATTTCAAGCAGTTTTTATTATTTTTTTTTTTACAAATTCCACCCTTTATTTTATTATTATTATTTTTTTGCAATGAGAAGAAATAAGAGATTTGTCTAATTCGTCGTATGGAGAAATGATAAACCCGAAATCCCCCACTTTGCTACAGTTCTTCAACCAGAACCTTTAAATAGGTCAACTTGATTCCACAACCTAGAAAAGTCATGAAAGACTACTTAAAAATTCCCAGAGAATGAAGCTAAGAATAAGTAACAAAGAAGCTAAGAATAAGTAACAATAGTGATTTTCAAGGTTACCAGCACTTTAGCCAGTATGTTTATTTAAAAGGTTTTTTTTACACATCATTACTAGGATTTCCACTGAACATAAGTGGCATTGTGTGCTGCTTTAAAATGGACTTGTATTCCTTTTCTCCTGCCAACAGAAAACCGTTGCTAAAGATGCTTCATGATTACTCAAACTGCTTTATAAGCAGCTCTTATACCAAAATTGCCTTTATTGCAAAGCACATGCTGCTCAGTCAGTCATAAGACAATCTACCTATATATCCTTTTTTCCTGAGGCCCTCTGTTTAATTTTGTCCAGCCGTTTTCCACTACCTTTTCCGGCACATCCTCCTTCCCCTCTGTGCAGACTTGTCAACCTTCCCTTCTTACCTTCTATGTTTGTGTCTTTGCAGCTGCGAAGCTCCTTTAAACAAGCATTCACCAAGAAGAAATCTCCCAAATCCGCCTCGTCTCATTCTGATATTGAGGAGATGATGGACTCATCCTTGCCATCCTCCCCCAAACTGCCTCACAACGGGACTTCAGGCCCCAGCCACATCCTCAGGAACACCCACTCCAACACACTGTACGTTTTGTGCCTAACTGATGTGCATACAGTATGCAGCCCCTATTAAGGTCCAGCCTATGAATGATCGTCCTTGCTTTTAATTCTCCAGATTGTCAGAGTGTTTGGACAGCGAGGCAGAGACGGTGATGCAGCTGCGGAGTGAACTCAGGGAAAAGGAGATGAAGCTGACAGATATCCGCCTGGAGGCTCTTAGTTCTGCGCATCAGCTGGACCAGCTTCGGGAGGCCATGAACCGTATGCAGGTCTGCACGTTCAAGCCAACAGAAGACACTAGTTCTCAGAGCAGAGATAGACAAATTATCATAATTTTATCTCTCTAATTGTCTCACTGGCTTCACTGCTTACTGATTTGTTTGTTGTCGGCAGTTGGAGATTGAAAAGCTGAAGGCGGAAAATGATCGTCTGAAGCTAGAGAGTCAGGGGAGCAGAACAGGATCCCAGGTGTCCATCTCATCCTCCCCTCCCCCTCACACACAAACTCAGACCCCAGGACCCGGTCCAGGACTATCACAGCACAGCCTTAACCTTACCACCAGCGAGTCTACCAGCCTGGGTAAGACACACACTGCAGATTCCTTAAATTAACTTTATTTACCCTTGATTTGATTAAGTAAATACGATGATTTGCCAATGGAATTACTATTTTTACTCTTAAAATAAGAAAATTTGATAATATATACTTGAAAAAAAATTATTTTATATTATACTTAATTATTTTAAGTAAATTGTTCCTTTATCAAAGTGTCTCACTCACCTCCTAAATTCAATTATTTTTTAACGAGAAAAAAATCCTTATTTAGATTTCTATTTTTTGCAGTCAAGTGACTGAAAATAAAGAAATAAAGTATGTAAATAGAACCGGCTGACCTTATTTTCTTCTCAGATATGCTGCTGGATGACACAGGCGGAGATGGTGGGATGAGGAAAGAGGGTCGACATGTAAAGATTGTCGTCAGCCTGGATGAAGAAATCAAGTGGGGGGAGGTGAGACCTGCTTTATGCCGGGAAATAGCTTGAAGAGGATGTGTTTTTTTTACCCAGTGTCTGAATGTCTTGTGTTTTGAAGGAGAGTCAATCTCACCACTTTCTGATTGGTTGCATTGGTGTGAGCGGCAAAACGAAGTGGGACGTCTTGGATGGGGTGGTCCGGCGCCTCTTTAAGGTAATTATAAACATATTTAAAGACTGATTCCCATCATTTACTTTAAAAAACGCGTGATCAAAGTTACAGAGAATTGTGTGCTTCATTCATAATTGTACATTTAAAACCTTATAACTGCTGCTAAAATATTCTGCAGGAGTACATTACGCATGTAGACCCAGTGCACCAGCTTGGTCTAAGCACAGAGAGCGTGCAGGGATACAACATCGGCGAAATCCATCGGCCCAGCAGCTCCAGCGCAGCCACCACGCCTGAGCTGCTGCCCTGTGGCTATCTAGTGGGAGACAACACCATCAACATTCAGCTCAAAGGTATTCGCACTGCTGATGATCGGCTTTGAGAAACAGGAAAATTATCCGTAATACTCATGCAGAGTATTAAATATATTTAAATTTAAATTACTGGTTAAAAAAATTGTATATCTACACATGCCAACCAGTGCTTATGTTGTGTTTGCCTGTAGGTGCAAGCAGTGAAAATGTGGATTCGTTCGTGTTTGAGACGCTGATCCCAAAGCCGATGCTGCAGCGCTACGTGTCCCTGCTGAGGGAGCACAGACGGGTCATCCTGTCAGGGCCCAGCGGCACGGGGAAAACGTACCTGGCAAGCCAGCTCGCTCGGTATCTTCTGCTGCTAGAGGGCCGACCTTTGACCCCGGGCGCTGTCGTCACTTTCAATGTGGACCACAAGTCCAGCAAGGTGAATGCAAATACTGTTTTTAATTTATTGGCTTTTATTTCTTAACTTTTGGGGGGGATTTCTCATTCTGCTTTATAGTAATGAATTTAACTAAAAGCTTCAATATAAGATTACAGTCCTTAATGTTTTTAGATAGCTGAGACTGCAGAATATATCCCCATTACCAAAACACGAGGCAGAGAAAAACAAAGACTCTTTCCTTTTTAAGGAGCTTCGTCAGTACCTGTCAGGATTGGCACAGCAATGCAGCAGTGTCTCTGGGGAAGAGAGCCCCCTGGTGGTCATTCTGGACAACCTCCACCATGTCAGCTCTTTGGGGGAGATCTTTAACGGCCTCTTCAACTGCAACTACCAGCACTTGTCAGTTCACACACATTCATCTGCAGAATGCTGAACTGCAACACAAAATGAATCTATTTAATAATAAAAACATTACTTTGGTTTATCTTTTGCTGTTTTCAGTCCTTACATTATTGGCACCATGAGCCAAGCCACCTCATCCGCTCCCAACCTGCAGCTTCACCACAACTTCAGGTAAATTTGAATGCCTCTGATGTCCTCCTGCCACTGATCTTGCCAATCTATAATAAACACTGTTGCACCCCTATGTTCTTCTTAAAGGTGGATACTGTGTGCCAACCACACTGAACCAGTGAAAGGATTTCTAGGTCGATACCTGAGGAGGAAACTGATAGAGGTTGAGATCGGCAGCCGAACCCGTAATGCAGAGCTGGTAAAGATCATGGACTGGGTCCCACGGGTTTGGCACCACCTGAATCGCTTCCTGGAGACCCACAGCTCCTCTGACGTCACAATCGGTGATAAGATATTACAATTAAGAGAATTTGGTTTAAATAAATTTGATTACATTTATAATTGAAAGTTTTACTTCTTGCAGGACCTCGCCTCTTTCTGTCATGCCCCATGGATGTGGAGGGATCCAGGGTTTGGTTTACCGATCTCTGGAATTATTCCATCATCCCCTACATGCTGGAGGCAGTACGTGAAGGACTGCAGGTAATAGAAATACAACAGTGTTGAGAAGTTTAGTTTAATTTTTATAGATACTATCTTAAATGATGTCAGTAATGTTCATTGCATACATATTTACATTTATAAATTGGTTCTGTAAAACACTATATAGACTATAAGTTGGTAAATAAAAAACTAAAAAAGTGGCTAAAAAAAAGAAATATATCCATTTAAGTCCAGAAAACCTCCTAGTTAAAATATATACAACTGTTTTATTGCAGCATATTCTTATACTTTTCATTGAGAAAAATGATAATTGAAGATAAGATTGTTTGTCAGTGCTGAAAAAGTCTCATATTTAGTTTTTGTTTTTTTCTTCTACCTGTTTACTGGTTTTCTCTTCCAAGACAACTTCCTTGAAATTACTATAACTAGTACCGTAGATCTATCTAGAGATGGGCAGAGTACACAAAGATTTCACTCAAATAGGAGTACAAAAAGTACTTCATGAAATGGCAACACGATTACCAAGTAACTGTAGGCTTAAAACATTGAATTTAGTGTCTAAAATTATGTAATCAGACAAACACTTCTGGGCAAATTTTTGTATTCCAAACCAAATAAAATAGAGATAAATAACAAGATTACAAGATAACAAATTTGAGCTGAACAAACACTTTTTCCTAGTAATTTTTTAACATATACGTACAAACTAATGAGTACAAGAGATAATGCATATGTCAGGAAGGGATAAATGATAATTTATAATGAACATTTCTGTAGTCTGAACTAATGAGCAACATCTAGAAAGTGTGTCCCAGACTCTCCTTATAACTATATGCCACTCTGTGTAGCTTTATGGACGCAGGGCTGGATGGGAGGACCCAGCGGCTTGGGTGATCGACACATATCCTTGGTCATCAACTCCAACTCCGGGTGACTGGGCCCCGCTGCTGCAGCTCCGTCCCGAGGACGTGGGCTTTGATGGCTACTCCGCACCAAGAGAAGGTGTTAGGAAAAAACCGCCACAGAGTGACAGTGACGCAGATCCACTGGTGAGCAAAAATCCACAATGTTCGTAAAAGTGCAAACATTTAAAGATCAGAGCAAATTACCTAAAGAAACTATCAATTTCATAAAGAATGCTGGATCTGTTCTGGGAACTTGCTAGAACCGCTGGAGGTTGTATTAATTTTCGAAGGGCTAAGTACCAATGAACTTAATGTCTTCTAGATTTTGTTAATTTTTTGTCTAGCACCTAAAAATCCATTAAAATTGGTTGTTTTAATCTGACAAAGTTAAATATATTTAACTGGGTCTGGATGCTTTTGGAAGGCTCAGTAGCTGTTGACTTACAGCTTAAAGCATCTTATTGTTAAAACTCTTCCAGCTGACTTTTATTTCTAATGGCAGATGAATATGTTGATGCGCCTGAAGGAAGCGGCCACATCATCGAGCCCGCAGAGCTACGACAGTGACTCCAACAGCAACAGTCACCAGGACGACATCCTCGACTCATCACTGGAGTCGACTTTATGACATCCGCAAAACACAACAGTTTGAACGTTTAGAATCTGTTCTCGTTGTGAGAACTCTCCAAGTTAAGGTCATGGCACGAAATGCAGCCTCATTCGTTTGGGTGCAGGTAACCCAAGAGTTGGAGAGAGTTAACTGCCTTTTGGTAAAAAAGAGAAGTTTCTCCAGCACTGCCGTGATTTCTTTTTCTTCACCGCTGTGGCCCTTGGTTCCTTCGTCAGGAGTCCAAAATCTGCTTCAGCAGAAAGTAGAAGCACACAGCCTGTCCCTGTTGGTGAGGCATTGCTATTATCTTTATCATCATCATCATCGTTCAACTGTTCACTTTAACACTAGCCAGTGCTCCACAATCTCCACCATGCTGCAATGCACCTAACCTGCCTGCACACGGCGCTTCAAATCAAGTTTTCTTGTTTCTGAACCACAGGTCAGTGCAACCTCCACAGCTCAAGTAGCCTCAGTGCATGATGTTGGAAAAGAAAACAGCCAAAGTGAACATCAGTTCAGCAGGAACCTAATTTAATTTTAAAATGTATTTATTGTGTCACTAAAAGTTTAGAAATAAAAAATATCACAGACAACATTCTCCTGTCAGTATCCAAAATTTAGATCGTTTTAATCCTGCACATGCAGATAAAAAGAAAATTAATCTAAAAATTAAAACCATGTAATCAATGGTATGACATTTGTGTTTTTCAATTCACTCTTTGCATTAATTACTTTGACTGCTTTTTAGAACTAGAAGTACTGCCCACTGAGACCACATTGAATCTGAAACTATCACCTGGCAAAGTACTCAACCTAATAGTTTAAGATTCATTAGGCTTTAAGCAGGAGATTAATCAAATACTATGACTTCCTTAGGATGTTTCCCAACTGAGTAGAACCACTGCATTGTATTCAAGAAGCTGGGTGAGTTTCTTAAAATCTGAAAAATCAGAAACATGCTGGTTTGCTTGATCTCCTTCCCTATTTTACTAATCAACTACATGGCAGGAAAAATTAGGAAATTTGATTTGGATATTTTCTGTGTCTGGTTAAGAAAACATTTATTTATTTCATTTTTACTTTTAAGTTTTGAAAAGAAAATTTGAATGTAAAAATAAATGTATCCAGCTGTATTATCCATAAAAGGTACAAAAATTAAGGATCAGTGCAATGTACTATTTATTTTGTTCTAGTTGCTGTGTTAAAGATAAAAAAAAATAGATGTTAAACAGTAATGAAGTTAACAACAAACAAATTATCTAAATCACTAGATAAGAAATCGGCAAAAGAAATTACTTCATTATAATTTATGAATTTTGTAGTGTTGCTTTATGGAAGAAGGGAATTGCATTCATGCAGTTTTAAAATATAAATTCAGCATTTATTTTGAATCTAACACTTTATTTTAGTTTTTTTGTTTTTTTCACAATTTACAGACATACCTAGATTAGGTGATGTTATATTTTGTTTTTCCGACAACTTCAAGCTTGAGCCATTCATGTTTTTTGTTTGGGCTAAAGATGAAGGATCACAGAGAAATGCTCGTACAGCTTTTCCTATTGACTAAATAATGATTGGTGAACTGATTAGTTATTTTTTAAATATATTTGATAAGAAACTAATTTGACAAAGAAGAAATATGACTTTTAAGCTTTCACAGCATACAGACATTAGGTATCAATATATAAACGTTAGAGGATTTCAAAGGATTTTTCTATGCTAGCACAGATGTGGCAGTTAAAGAATAAAACTCACCAAAATCGATACAAAGGTTACTAGGAAGTTGAGAAATTTGGGTTTCAATGTGACTCCTTATCAAAATTGAGTAGAAAATGTTTGAAATATTCTCATCTACATAACATCTAAACAGAAGTACAGGATGATGACTGAATTTCACTTTGGAGATATTTGTCAGTAGAATTTATTTGGCAGAGATGATCACTCATGATTTTTTTCTATAACTCTTCGCTTCTACCACATTTTTCTCTTTGAGTCCCTTAAGTCCTCTGATCTCTCCTCGCACATTTGGCCTATGCAGGCTTTTGTAGCACAAATCTTTTTGGTGCTGGACTGAGTTCCAACAAACAATGCCTTACACTTAAATACCAGACTACGTGCATTAGCTGATTATTGGTCTAAATGGCTGTCAACCTAACAGGGCTCTGAGTCGAGCTCTCCTCGAGCAGCTGCAGTTATCGAGGAGCGCCGTCAACCTCTCATATCAATCACAGTCACCGTGGGGTTGAATAGATGTGAATGAGAAGCAGTGCTTTTGGATTAGAGATCTATTTTTTGGTTTGTTGCTCTTCTTGCATGTGTGATCTGATGTTAAATATATTAAAATAAATTAGCATTTAGTTTTGGTGCTTGAAATCAGGATCCTTTGGTGACTGATTGAGGCAAGTAAAAGAAGACTTGTTGATTTATACCTCATGTCCCTCTCCTTACTTGTGTTTTATTTTTTTTAAGGGTTTTGTTCTGGTGATGTGAACAAAACTCAGATATAATGAGCTAATTAAGTGGGAACTAGTTTTAAAGCTGCTTTGTTTATCAAAAAATATAGTTGAAAGATTATTAATATAAATGGTACTTGTGAAAAATTATTCAAAAGAGTTTGGCATGTCTAACTTTAAAAACTTCAGTTTTGGGTTTTTTTTTTAAACCTCCAAGCATGCCTTCAGTGAGGTTTAAAGAGAAATAAAATCCACAGCTTTCAAAATTTTACCCACCAATCCTATGCAATATTCATTGTATTCTAAAAATGAAAAGTGAACGTATGTTTGTCCCCCAGTTTCAAATGTTTTGCATGCCACCAGCTCTGTGGCCAGTTTTCTTTGTCCTTGTCTGATACATTAGTTTTACCTGCTGCTAATGTTGAAAGCACAAAAAGTTCTGCAAGTCCGTGTAAAGCCTGCTCTGTTAGGTGTGAATGATGTTTAAAGCATTTGACTGGTCCATTTTAATACTCACAAACTCAATGAATGTTTAGATTTCATAGCCATGTAAATTTTTTATAGGTATGTAAGATAACTTGTAAATAGCTGTTTATCCTGCCGCGTTTTGATGACTTTTTTTAGCCGATTTGGTATAATACTTGAAAATTGGTATTTTGTGTACAGTCTCTTTGTGTGATTGCAAATTGATGCTGTTTGTCATCACTTGTTTGTCCAGGAATCAGAAAATTGAAACTGATATCACTGTACTAGTCTTAAGTTATTGTGATTCAATAAATTTATTAATTTATAACTGCATTTAGTTAAGTTGTATTTGAACGCTTTTCACTGTATGGTGTTTATTTTAAACAATTAGTTCTTTAGTTTTTGTGTGTGATAAACAAAAGTTATATAACTAGCTTAACAGATTCTAAAGTTGTTGATGGAAGGTAACTTTAACACTGAAGCATGGATATCTTACAAGGTTTTCACTAAGGAAGAGCAAGAATCAGAAAAGCAGAAAATGATTTTCCTAATAAAATGGAAATTGAATCAAAGCCTACAAATAAAACTCTTAAAGGGTTAAATGTAAGATTTTTTTTATAAAAAAATGTAAAAAAAAAAAAAAAAAAAAGAACAACCTTATCCTATGGAAATGTATTCTTGTGTATGTGGTGGGTGGAGGCATTGGATAAATATGTCTTTAGATGACTCTAGTGAAAAGTTCACTTTTGCCACCACTTCAGATTTTATCGATCAGTAGATCATCTGTTGCAAAGCGTTCCTAGTGGCATTCCACTTTAGATATTCTCTTGAAATATTCCAGATTAATTTTACTCCCATATTTGATTCTGTCTGACTTTTTTGCAGTTTTTTCTTTCATCTTTCATCCAAAAATAAACACAATACCCATATCTGACAGACGATGGTTAAATGCTGCGGCACCATGGAGCTAAAGTGAAATTGACTGAAATATCTTCTTTTTTTTATTGAGAATAAATCCCCTGGCTGATTGAATTTGTGTGAACTCGGGGTCATTTTTCTTTTTCTAGATTTGTTTTAGCAGCTGTATGATGTGCCTGTTTAACATGGGGGCCAAACAGTTGCGCAGCACTCTAAGCCCTTCTAAGCTGCAGCCAATGGCATCCTGCAAACCTTCAGGTGTTAAACCAGCACATGTCAGGACCAGTCTTAAGTTTGCAAATGACCATTTGGATGATCCAGAGGAGACATGGGAGAAAGTCATGTGGTCAGATGAGACCAAAATATAACTTTTTGGTCATATTTCCACTAACCGTGATTAGAGGAAGAAGAATGATGAGTACCATCCCAAGAACACCATCCCTGTGAAGCATAGGGGTGGTAGCATCATGCATCATTTTTTGGGGGTGTTTTCTGCATAAGGGACAGGGCGACTGCACTGTATTAAGGAGAGGATAACCAGGCCCATGTATTGTTAGATTTTGGGGAACAACCTCCTTTCCCTATTTAGAGCCTTAAAGATGGGTTGAGGCTGGGTCTTTAAATATGACAATGACCCGAAGCACACAGGCAGAATAACCATGGAGTGGCTCTTTTAGAAGCATATCAAGGTTCTGGTGTAGCCTAGCCAGTCTCTAGACCTAACCCAATTGAGAATCTTTGGAGGGAGCTTAAACTTTGTTTCTCAGCGACAGCCCAGACTGATCTGTGTGGAGGAGTGGGCCAAAATCCCTCCTGCAGTGTGTGCAAACCTGATGAAAAACTACAGGAAATGTTTGAACTCTGGAATTGCAAACAAAGGCTACGGTAATAAATGTTAACATTGATTTTCTCAGGTGTTCAAATACTTATTTGAAGCTGTATCATAAAAATAAATAGTTAAAAAAAATCATACATTGGGATTTCGAGATTTTCTTTTTAGATTATGTCTCTCACAGTGGATAGCAAGTGCACTGACAATTTTAGACCCCTCATTGATTTCTAATTGGGAGAACTTGCAAAATAGAAGGGTGTTCAAATACTTATTTTTCTCATTGTAAATGTGAATATTACTTAGAATCTGCAAAATGAGACCACCAACTGGGATGATTATAATCACTTCACTGGGAATGTGTGCAGGTGAAGTTATTATCGTATGACACATAACTGTTTTAATTTGTGTAAACATCCCAGACCAGGAGATCCCTGCCATTTTCATACCAGTACCAGGATAAACTGTTCGCACTTTCTCTAAAGCAATTCCCCTAAAAAGGATGTGTATTTGGCATTTTTACAGTTTTTACAAAGAACTGGGGAAACAATGAGTTGTCATTTTCTACAAGAAATGAAACGGACATTTTGAAAAAACACCTTCACCTTGCTCAAGCAGTTTACTGCCTACAGTATATATGGTCAGAGTCTTTTTTATTTACATAATTGTTAGCATACAATAATTTAGGATGTTTTTAATTTATATATTTCTGTTTATATTGATTTGTGTTGCAGAAATGTTTTGGATAAGACCTTTAAAAAAAAAAAACTAACTTAATTTATTTGCAGTTTTATTTGGTGTTTGTACAAAAGTCGTGAAATAAAACATATATACAGGACATAGTACAACATACTTAAACAAATGTATATAAATTATTAACGAAATAGCTACATTTTTCTCAATAAAGAACTCTATTCAGTATCAGGATGAACATAACTCAATATTCTTGGCATAAAATTTCCATACAAATTGTACAAAATTCTGTACAGTTGAACAAAGCTGTGCAAAAACAGCAAACACTCTCAGAAGCAAATCCTGTCCAGTGCGCAAAATGCAACAAACACAAAAACATGTAATGAGATGTTGTTTCAGGCCAGCAGCTTCTTACAAATCTGTTCACAGTCACATAAAACCACCTATGGATAATAAGTCTATATTTGCCTCTAAAAATAAATTAAGAGACTGTTATTTCTTCGTCATCTGATTCTGAGAAGTCCGAGTGCTTGCTGGATATGGAAGGGGAGGAAATGCTGCACGCTGCCACGCTCATTCTGCCTCTTCCAAACTCCTCTTCCTCCTCTTCTTCCTCTTCATCCTCAGCTGAGGACTTCTTACCCACGTCACTGAGGTCTGGGTGGGGGTTAGATTTGGTGGGCAGAGTCTGCTCACGGGATCCACCGGATGAGAGAAGCTCCCTTTCCTTGGAGTTGCGCCATTTCATCCGGCGGTTCTGAAACCAGATTTTCACCTGTGTAGGTGAGTATAGACGGTGAGTGGAAAAGCTTAACAAAATCTTCAACAGTGTCTTTATTTTCTAGTTGCAGAAATGTTTCAAACATGGATTTAGCCTTACCTGAGAGTCTTTTAGGCCTAGTTTAGAGGCCAGTTTCTTTCTGTCAGGCTTGCTGATGTATTTCTGTTTCTGGAACATTTTCTCCAGAGCTTTGCGCTGGACATCTGAGAACACTGCCCTCCTTAGCATTCCTCTGCGGGGTTTCCCTCTGGCAGCCAGAGGCCATGAAAAGGTCCCAGGGATGGGAACTACGGAAGAGGATGCTGCAAAGAAAAGAGGAAAAAAAAAAAAATTAACCACAAGTTGATCTTTGTAACCTGAGCTGACCTGAAGCATTAGCTAATGAACATAAGCCAACTGGAGCCCCACTATAGCTGGTCCCTAATTTTTAAAAGTTTTAAGATGCCATCAATTGGAAAATTATCTAAGAGTTTTAAAATGATAGGCGTGCTACTTTAAACATCCAAAGAAGTATTTTAATATTATTAAAATAGAATATAACTTCTATCTTTGTTTCTCTATTTCTCTTGCAAACCCAATTCCAACATTAAGTGCATTAACCAATAATAAAAAACATCTACCTTTTAAATGTTAGGGTGTATACCAATCACATACTCTATTACCAAGTTTGCTGTGCCTGTAGTTGAAACACTGTATAGTTCATGAATAAACAGGCAGAGAAATAACCTAACCACTGCTACTTTCAACTGAAATCTTTTAAAATTTTTGTTTTACTGGCTGGGTCAAACTTTATCCTTGAACATTATTTAAAAAAAATACACAATAAAGTTAGTTTTATACATTTTATATATTTATGTTCATTTTCAGTTAAATTACATATGAATATCAATATAGAGTAATATTATTTTAGTTTATTAAAGACAAATCTTAAAATACCTTATCTTATCTTACAAATAAAATTCTCTTTATTTATTCAAGGAATTTAATATTTACTGTGCCATGTTAAAACTTAAAAAAAAATATATATATACTATGTTATAAAACAGACCTCAACATTTGATAGGTTAGCTGGTGGTGCAGCCGACCAGTCTCAGTATATAGCATTGCATTTTGTTTGTCATTATCAAAAACTTTAAAACTAACTAGTCATACTTCGGAAATACATACCACAAATTGACCTTATAACTATACCTATATATATATATATAGGTATAGTTATATTATATATTATATTATTATATTTATGTGTGTACATGTGTGTAATGCATACATAGGAAATACATACCACAAATTGACCTTAAATCAATCTATCTATCTATCTATCTATCTATCTATCTATCTATCTATCTATCTATCTATCTATCTATCTATCTATCTATCTATCTATCTATCTATCTATCTATCTATCTATCTATCTATCTATCTATCTATCTATCTATCTAAAATGCTGTTTAAATAATAGGCCCATATGAATATAGTGACCTCTCAGTTCTCTGTTTCTGGATTTCAGCAATACGTCTCTGTTTTGAGTGAAATGGCACGAGGTGACTAATTAGCACATTGGTCTCTCCTCCAGCGCATTGGTATGTTAAAGAGGCAGCTCCCCCTAAAGGAGCCCTGTGAGGGCGGATAGAGGAGTTAATAAACCGTGAACGGTAATTGTGTAGTAATGAACTAAGGTAAAAAAGACTGTGGACAGGCGGCGAAGGCCATATATTATGGCAACAAAAGGAGATTTACACTTTCAAACTAAACACAACTGCATACCAGAATACTGATGGCCGGCGGGGTGAAGAGAGGAGTGCGGAGGAGAAGGGGGGAATGGTTTCTTCTCCTTCTTCTTGCCCTCAAATCATTTTCATTAAATGAACACGAAAAGCTTTTCAGTGCGCATTCAGCTGAGCCCGTGAAAAGACTCCTTCTCTATTATGGTTAGTCTGAATGAAAGCGACTTTATAGACTTTTCTAAGGGATTATTCTTTATCTCAACTCGTTCACTGGCCCAGATAGAGAATACAGGAGCGTTTAGGGCACAGAGAGCGTGGATGGGGGGGCGTCACTGAAAGCTATACAGCATGTTTTAGGAGGGAGGGGGGCTCAGAGTTGGAAGATTTTAGGTGAAATTTGCTTTACTTTTATTCCCCGCGGACTCTACTTGACTGTAGGTGCGCTGCGGACGCAGCAGAAGCAGGGACAACAGCCCTCCATGTGGTCCTGAGAGAATATTGAAAACTCTGAATAGCGCCTAATAGGGAAATTAGTGCATGACTGTTTCACGCCTTTGCCCCGTCTGGTAAAAGTCACTCTCCCGGGTATGTGGGTGGTTTGACCGGTGGGAGCTGACCACATTGGTCAC